TGTTATTTCACCTTGTAAAAAGTATTTAAAATACCTTCGATTTCGGTTGATCATGTGAATTTAAAACAAGTTATTTTATTTATAATTGTCATCAAAAATTCTCCGAGTAATAAAAATGCTTTAATCACACGCTATAGTACAAACAAAGGGCTCTGAAGGTCTATCAAATTCGTTTGAAGTGACAAAGGGCGTTATACAGGATAAACCTCTAAGCTCCTTATTATTTGTATTGAGCTTAAACTTTTAAATATTGATAGCATTTTTTTTTCTATTTTGGGAAATATATAAAAACTGGAAAAATACGTACTGTTATTGTTTATATGTTTTAAATACATTCAAATAATTATATTATAAATCCTTTAATCTTTCTGCTAGTTATTTTGTACTATTTTGATAACGGTTCAGAAAAAGAATTGTAAGGAAAGGTAGTTTATCTTATTATTTGTCGTATATTAAATAAATAATCTAATGAAAAACGTTATTGTATTGTAATATTTTGTGTTCATAATACGTATCTTTGTCATCCTATGGAAGTGTTTGTAAATGGAATCGCAATGTTTTTAATTATGACAAAATGTGTTCTCAACACACTTTCAAAATTATTTCAAACCAATAAAAATAAAATTAATTTATGGTCATAGAAAAAATATTGTATATAACTTGCATAAAATATTGTGATTGTCGCATTCGGTTTAAACCTCGTGCGAAATTATTTCCCACTCGTGTGTAAAATGTCTCATTCCGCACTCGTAATGTAATATACTGATCAATTTTTTATTTTACTAATTATTTTTTTTACCCTAAGGCAAAAAATATTTATTTCCCTAGGCTGTAAGTGAAATTTTTTTAAAAAAGCCAGTTACAGAACTAGTATTACAATTTTTTTTTATTTTTGACATAAAAGTGACATTTTTGAAATCGCACCAAGAAAATGAGTTACTTTACGTAACCAGTTGCATAATGTTGAACACTATCAAAAATTAATTGTCACCAGTTGAGTAAAGAAAAGAAATAAAAATAAACCTTTTTTTGTTTTAAAATCAATAATATCAATTAATATTGAAAGTTTATATCAAAAAAGGGCACCTTTTAACCTTTAATCAACAGGAACTTAAGTAAGGAGATACCCAGTATCTCCTCTTTTTCCTAACAAACTGTTTGTAAACAAGATATAGGTATAAATATCACATTTTTTTCGAACTTACATCCATCTTTTCTGTTCTTAAGACGATTTTACTCTGCCTTTTTTCAGGACAGAAGACTAAAAGCGCTGCGTGTTAATTAAAAATTGCGTTTGCGTCAACGTGACGTTAACGCGACTGTTAAAAAACGTTCGTGAGCATCGACCCTAACAGGTATTTTCGAGATTAAACTAAGAAAATACCTATAATTGTAACATTATTGTTATAAATTTTAAATTCAAATTAATGTGAAAAATAGGAAAACATTTATTAATGGGATCACGTGTCAATTTTTAAACATTTATTTGTTTTTCTATGATAATTGCGTCAGCAAAATCTAAAAAAAAATGGTTGGTATTTATCACATTACCCAAGTAGCACCATAAAAACATTTTGGGTTTATTTCAATTTTAAAATGGTTTTAATGTGGTAAATAAGAAGATACTGGTTGTAGATATACTGCGGGCACTTAAAAGCCGTTTAGCATTTAATACTGGTTTTAAAGTATGTAATAAGATTCGCTAATAAGGGCAATTAATCTTAAAGTTTGTATGTCTTGTTGTAGTTTTAAAATGGTTTAGTTTTAATTAACTTTAAAACTACTTAGTTTTATGAAGGACTTGCAGGTTGTTTGGTTTTATTATGTTCTAGATTGTGACGTTTTAGTTTTTAAGTAGTATTAAAGAGATTCTTAATGTAATTAATGAAACCTATTATTAAATCTGCTTGATCTTAGGACAAGACCTTCCAGACTACATAAAATCATAAGTGTTGCATATGGTTGAACTCGTATTGAATAGGAGATTCCAATAATGACTGAATATACAGGGTGATGAATTTGAAAACCCAAAGTGACTAATAATTTAAGAGAAATGGCAAATCTGGCAACATTGCAAATATCAAATCTGGAATCACCGTATCCCAAAATAGGTGTACCCCAAATTTTGTACAATTAGGACTAGCAATTTACGAGATAATTGGCCGTTTCCAGACTTTTGGGCCACTCTGTATACAGGGTGGCTCACGCTCAACGGGACGGAGCTTTATGGGAAAACGACCAAAGATATAAAAAATTCGTTTGGGAGGAATACGTAGGTTACAGACGGCTACAATTTAAAATTTGTTAGATGTATACAGGATGTCCCACATAAGAAAAAAAAATTAGTTCATTAAAAATTATTCAAACAATTAATTTCTGGGAGACTTTTTTTCCTTAAAAATTCAAATAAATCGAAAACTAATAATAATAGTAATAGGGAACCTTTAGTTAACTGACATTATTTTTGATGTAGTTTTTAATTCTAAAATAAAAAACAGGGTGTTCCATTAAAAATAATATAACTTTGTATATTTTCTCTTATGTGGGACATCCTGTATACATCTAACAAATTTTAAATTGTAGCCGTCTGTAACCTTCGTATTCCTTCCAAACGAATTTTTTATATCTTTGGTCGTTTTCCCATAAAGCTCCGTTCCGTTGAGCGTGAGCCACCCTGTATATTGCTTCAAGTTTGCAGGACTTTTGCAATTTTTTTCTCAACATTAATTATAAACAAAAGCGCCATTTTGATATAAATTAAATAGTTCTAGACCTTGGAAATGGTTGCAAATTTAAACTTATTATTGCAAAGTTTGAAAGCTTTTGTAATTAATGTGAAATGTTCAAAATAGGAAGTCTTTACTAACCAGGGGGGGATATCGCGCATGGTGTCATGGCGGCGCTAACGTCATGCGTAGAGTTAGTAGAGCTGACACAAAATAAATATCATATGACAGACACATATTGCAGTAGTTTGTAAGTCGTTTATAGTGATTTATAAGATTCTAAGCAGATATTTGTATTATATTGTGTTGTAAACTTTGTTCTCTGTGAGTGGTTTTAATGAAAAACATTGAAAAATTGCAGTACGGATGTAACAGTAACAATTAAAGGAAAGGATTCAAGAAAGATATTTTGGTTTCTCGTTTTCCTCGACAGTAAGAGCTTAGTCAGAAGTAAGAAGTGGCCCAAGGGCGGCTCCAGCGGAGGCCCAGGGGAGCATGCCGTTCCCTAGATTAAAATTCTTAAAATTCATGAGCCTTTTATTAAAAAAAAAAAATTGCTAAATAGGCAATTCTACCATCCTTCCCAAGAAAATTCGGCATGGAGCGGCCCTTGCAATGGCTGGTGACCCTGCAGATACATTTTCATGTATTCCAAGCACTTTCAACCTTCCAATTATAAGAGAGATCTTAAATCAGAACTTCACATAATGTGAAGTTGTGAATGAACCAGTGTGAATCACATTGGTTAATTCACAACTTGGGACTTCTGGAGACTCTCTACCCTTTCAAGGCTAAAAATTTCGCAATATAAGCAAAAGTAAAAGTCACCAAAAAAAAAAGAAAATTTCGACTTGTACTTGATGAATGATTTAAAAAACTGTCAGCAACTAGGTCCAGGAAAAATGCAGGGACATTTTATTTTAATTTTGTATTATAACAGTTATTTGTATTTGGTACATTTTTTATGTTTTGCATTATATTATATAAATGTTTGCATTATATTATATGAAAAAAAAAAAAAATTAAACTTATTTTTATTCAATTGGGTAAAATAATGCAGATAAATGAGTTGCAAATCCTAATCAGGTAAAAATTTCTGGCATATCCAGATGTGAAATTGTTACCAGAATCCCCAGTTTCGAGTTGCGAAGATACCCTTTATTTTATTATCCTGGTTATAAAAACTATTCTTTAGAAGTCGAATTTGTATGAACAAAATAAATCATTAAAAAAAAAAAAAAAGGAAAAACTGTTTAAAAAAATATTTTTTTTATGTATGTATATGCATTTATGTTTCTTCATAGTTCTTTCCTTAACTATCCCATAATAATTTCCATAGATATTTCATGTAATTTCTAAAATATTATCCTTAATATTCATCAAATTTCTATAAGTTAGCATATATTTTCCTCGCACTTCGTTAGTATTTTTAAATTCGCGCCTATACAAACTCTACGCGTGACGCCATGCGCGTCGCTGTCCTATTTTTGACACTGTTGATATCCTACCTTTTATTTTTTATACCATGTTTACTAACTGACCTATTATGTAACATAGCTAACAAAATGTTTGACCAACATTTCTAAATAATAGCAGTATTGAATATTGAATTAAATAACAATGTTAAATAAATAATCCAGCTATTTTCAATTACTTATTAAAATATAAAAATTAATAAATAAACAACCATTTGTCATATTTGACAGTTAATGCAGATAATAGATTCTGCGTCCCTTTCCCCGCACAAGCTCAGCTTTTGGGGTTAAAATTCACTCGTAAGGGGGTGAATTAGGAAGAGTATTATTTTTATTATTATTATTCATACGCGTGTGACATAGGGCACTTAGACTGAACAATGCGCGATATGTGTTGTAGGAAAAATCGTTTAGTCTAAAAAATTGTTGCCTGTTGTCAAGCAGAAAAATTTGCTATATTGATATTAAAAATTATCTTTAAAACTAAAAATGTTAGTCTACGTAAAGAAAATTTAAAATTGTGTATACTTAATATAAAGATAATGAAACAAATCATTCGATAAAGCAAGCAAAAAGAAAACAATTTTCAAAATGTTTCGACCCTATCTCACTCTAATTTGGCAAAATGAATGGATATTTTAATTTTATTCTTATATTTATATCATAAAAATTAGATCAAATATAATTAAACGTAACCTGAACTAATTTAAACTTGACAAATGTAATTCCTTATTAATTCAGTAATTCTGGAACACCTTGTATATAGATACTAATAGTTAAAATTGTTTTGTTTACTTACATTTCATTACTAACTCCTTGTTCAACTTTAGACACAGAAGATTCACTAGTCCTTTCATTTTTTTCAACCACTTCAGATACACTGGGTATATTTTTATTCACATCCGGATCCATCTTTCGTTCAAAAATGAAACAACCGATAGAATAAAAAAAAAATTAAAATAATCTAGTCTGTATGTTGATATCAACAAAAACCGTAGATGTTTTCGCAATATAGGACATTTTTAGATATCTCGCGCTTATACTTTGTTCAAAACTCATCGAATTATCAAATGGAACTGATGATACTTATTTATTTATGTGCGAGTGCTCACTGCTGTACGTTTTCTATACTGGTATTCTAAGAATGGAATCAAATAATATAACAATGTGAAGGAAGTTCAAGTTGTGGCTCTTTGCGAGCTTATAAAAGCTCATATTTTCGACAATTTATTTATTTGGTTCGAGTGGTGGGAAATGCGCGACAATAGTTCAAGATAATCGTCGAAAAATATTATCTAATTCTAATTAGGTCTGTTTGGATGGATTACACTATCAATATTTGTGTATTGTTTTTAAAAATAATGCATGTTATCAATTTTGATGCGAGACATTTGTTTAATACACAAAGTAAAACTAAAGTCAATTGAAAATTGGTCGGGGCCTTTTTTTTTTAATTAGTACCTGCCTTTATACGGTATAATGCGATACGTCGCGACGTATCGTATAATTTTGTTGGCTCTTACGAAATTGCATCCCAAAAAAGGGTTTCCTACCTGATTCGAAAAAGGTCACAACGAAATTGCACCCCCATAAGGTAAGGGGTTAGTGAAAGAAATAAAAAAGAGAAGCAAACAATAATTGAAAAACTATATAGAAATGATGCAATAATAATGATGCTGATAGATATGAAGAAAGATAAACAACAAGATAAGGAAGAACTTATAAGGAAAATTGATGAAAATCAAATAAGGAATAAAGATAGAGAACAGATAATAAATAAAATGGATAAAAATTAAAGAAAAAATGAAGAAGAAATTATGAAATTTGTAAGAGAAGGCCAAAGAGGTTAGAAAGGGTAGAGGTAACATAGGAAGCATTTGTCACTGCGCGAATTTTGCCAAAACCGAAAAACTGGGTGGAAGGAGTAGGGAGATGTTCTGGGCCGGACTTAAATATTTGTATTGTAGTACCTAATTTTGGTAGGTAAAGATGAAAAATTATAACACGTTTTTTTGACTTTATTTGTCAGCACGATTCATTTATGATGAGGGCAATAACACTTTATCAATATATAACTAGCTAAGGGGCGATTCCACCGTTGTGTCAAACGAAGTTTAAATTACTAAGTGAAGATTAAAATGACATTGTTAATGTAAAAATGTCATTTTAAACTCCATTTAGTAATTTAAACTTTATTTTTGTTAATATAAAAATGTCATTTTAATCTTCGTTTAGTATTTTAAACTTCGTTTAACAAAACGGTGAAATCGACCCTAAGTAGAAGTTTATAAAATTATTGTAACAAAATAGCTGTTGAGACAATAAGTTATCGAAACAGCCAAAGTACTTTTTGCCGAATTACACATAAGATTTTTTCTACGATCACACCAAAATAAAATAAATAATTAAATTTTATTAGAAATGGGTTACCTTTTCGTTCGTTATATTTTAAGTTTATTTGACATAAGCCTATTCTTCGAAGAAAAAAAAAATGTTTTGGTACTTATATACCGGTAATTATTTATGATTTAATTATTTACGGAAAATACCGTTCAATGATTTAAAATATTAGGAAGTCAATTAATAGCTATTTATGTAACCAGTTATGAAATGCCTTATTTTGTGTAACGAGTAAATATTTGCGGGACGAGCGGAGCGAGGTCCTGCAAAATGAACGAGTTACACAAAACGGCATTTGGTAACGTGTTTCCATACAAGATTTTTTCTAATTTTGTCTTGATTATTTATAAAATTGTGTTGAAAAATAATTCACCAGCATTCTTTTGTAGGTACTTCCAATCAAATATTTCAGAAAATTGTTGTATTTGATTGCCCTACGACGTTTTTTTTTTTCAATAATAATAAAAATAAGGAACATGTGCAGTGTTGTCGATCTGATTTTCGACATTACCCGCGAGAATGTTGAAAAAAAAAAACATTTTTACCCATTATCCTTAAAGGAGTACGTCAAAATTTTACCCCCAACATTTCTGGGCAGTTTTCAATAACGGTGTTCAATTATTTAAAAAATATAACGCAATTTAAAGCTTTTCTTTTTTGTTTTCTTTTTTGTTGTTAAACGTAATGTCATATTTTTAAATGTGAAATGTCACTATTCTCGGCCTTTTTTTCGATATTTGGTTTTTTCGATTTTTCGTATTTGGATTTTTCGATTTTTTTATTTTTAGATTTTTCGATTTTTCGATTGCTCGATTTCTCGATTTTTCAACTTAAAAACCAAAAAAGAGGCAATTTTATTTATTTTCATTTCGTAACTGGTGACATAATCAACTTTTCGTAATCAGTTGCATAATGTTCTACTTTATAAAATATATTACTTTATATGTCAAAATTAGAGAAAATAAAATGTAATTAAATGGATAGATCCCATATTATTATAGAGCAGTGTTTCTCAAACTTTTTTGGGGACGGAACCTTTTTGAAAAGCGAAATATTTGACGGGGCCTTCAACACATTAAACACATAATTTAAAAAATATTTTTCAAATTTTTTTCTTCAATTTGACTCTCATTTTGACTTTCAAGGTAAACGTGATAAAAAATCGGCTTCATATTATGCTCCGATTTTACATATTCAATTTTATAATTGTAATTTGACAATATTACTACCCATCTACGTAGTCTGTTGGCTGAAAATTGGGGTATACCTTTAGCTGGGTTAAAAATAGTTACCAGAGGTAAGTAATCTGTAACTAGGATAAATAAATGTGTATATGAATATTCATTAAATTTATTTAAGCCAAAAATTATTGCAAGGCCTTCTCTTTCAATTTGGGAATATTTTTGTTCGGACTTTGATAAGGTACGCGATGCAGAAGCTATAGATTTCTCAATATTTTTTTAAAAAACATGACATATGGCCCTTATTCCCACATTTGATGCATCTACGATTAATTTAATCGGCAACTCAGGCTAAAAATGCATAAGAACATAATTTGTTGTTAATTTATTTTTGATTAATTCCAAAGATTCCTTGCAAGAATTATCCCAAATCCATTTCACCCATAAAAATAAAATAAAAGTCCTAAAGCAAAATCATATCCTCCTTCCTCTTAGTGACTTAAAAAAATTACTTCTCAAAAAAAAAGTTCCTCAAGCAAGGTCACTCCATTTTGTGGCGATAGTACTGTTTTTTTTTTTATTATGATTATTTTCTTCGCGGAGTCCTCACAAAGGCTTTGCGGAGCCCCAGGGCTCCACGGAGCACACTTTGAGTAACCCTGTTACAGAGAAATACTAAATAAATAGTTTTGAAAAAACTATTGAAACCAGTTGTGAAGTTTGAAACGAATAAATTGGCAATAAAATTGATATTTTTGTATTTGATTGTATGTTTCTCTTTCCACTTCCTGAAAACAGATTCACCATGAAACAACAAATAGTAAACAGTTTATAAAAATAACCTTTATTTGCTACTTATGACATGTACCAATGACCAAGTCCGATTCTGTTTATTTTCAAATCAACAAATATGGACGTCGACAGAATCTTTAAAAATTAAATCTCACCGAAATAAATATAAGTTTCTTTTATCTCCGTCACATTTCGCACTTTTATTATAAATAAAGCTTTCTACAACACATCTTGGCATTTTAAACGTTAATTTCCAAAATTTAAGTCACTAAAAAACCAAATTAATTCTCGTTGACATTAAATTTGGATGGACAACGCTCTGACATGTGATGTTCTCAACTGTGATTGGTGGGTGTGAATAATTTCGAAATGGGATTATGGGCAGTGTCTTATGTTCCATCTAAGGTTTATATAATCTAAGGAGAAGGCAAAGAAGACATAATGCAGATGGTGAAAAGAATGGAAAAGAAAATAAAGAAGTAATTGGAAGAATCGATAAAAGAAATAGATGATAAAAGAAGAGCAGAGAAAGAGGAAATGAACACGAAAATTTTTTATCAATAGATGATTTCAACGGAAGACATCTTGAAGTTGCAAGGTTATTGGAAGATCTTTGCGCCATCTATAAGTTTACATAACAAATAATAAAATAAAAAAAAGTTGTAAATTATTATTTTGGCAATCTGTCTAAAGTTACGGCGGCGTCAGCATAAATTTCTTCTTTTTTTCTTGCCTCTTACCGACATTGTACACATTTTTTTACGCGAAAACGCTGAGTCTTACTAACAAAAGTCAAGAAATCAAATTTGTTCCAAATTAAATGTAGATTTTAAAAATAATTTTTATTTTTTAAAAAACCAGTGCGTACTATTTTTTTCTTCAATAATATTTAGTTTAAATACCGTAGGGACGCCACTGATGAAAATAAAAAAAAACTAATAGCATCAAAAAATGTCACTTTATAGTAAAACAACGTGTACCAAATTTCATTAAATTATCTTTAGTGGTATGAAAGATATGATGAAAAAACGATTTTTTTTTCTTAAAACTTGAAAACCATCCATTTCCGGACACATGTTTATATGAACTTTTTACCTTAAAATTACTCAAAGAATCATTTCCTGAAGTTTGTCAAAGTACTTATGAATCACCCTGTATATTGCAAATGTTGATTGATGTATATGTGTAAAAGTAAAAGAAGATATAATAAAAGAAGAAGAATGTCTAAAACAGTTGAGAGAGGATAAATCACATATAAATAAGAAAATGCAATACATAGAAAATGATATAAAACCCAATAAAAATTTAGAAAGAAAAATAGTACAAGAAGTAAATAACGATGAAGAAAGAAAAAATGAAAATTAGAAAAATACATATTTTTTTGTTTGGATTTTATAAAATACAACAAAATTAAAATTACTTTTAAAATTGTCTATTATAACTTTTCTGTTTCGTTTGTTAGTTGTTAGGTGGAAGCCAGTGTATATTTTTCATTACACAAAAAATATATTTAATTACATATTACAGGTTAGTCATTTTAACTTCTTGTATTTTTACTGACGTGTTTCTTATTCCACATCTGGGTTTTTCATAAACAGTTAATTGATTTTTTTTTGGAAATTTCATAGACTAATGCCATAGTGTGGGGTATGAAATGAAAGCTTTTAGAACAGTGGTCGCCAACCTGTCGATCGCGAGCTACCGGTAGCTCGCGCAGGCAATTCTGGTAGCTCTCACAACGATTTTAATTTAAAAAATACAAACTGCAAAAATCAGAGAAGCTTCCGAAAATTCCACAAAAAAATCTAATTGTCATAATATTAAACATAAACAGCGGCAACGTTGCGGTGAGCGATCTGCCGCTGACGCCATCAAGCTAGAATCAGCTAGAACCGACCAGCCGGACCAGCGCGTTAGTGTTCGAGAACAATCAGGATTGCTTTGAACGGGATAAATACGCACGGCGCGGCGACATTGCGCTTAGTTTAAAACTGAACGCGTAACCAACGTCCAGCGGTTGGGTTAGTAGAGAACAATAAAAAATAATATTATGGTAAGCAGTT